ATCACCAATGCCATGGGCACTAGAAAGGGTCTTATCTAGAATAACCAGGATGATGATGAAATAAGACAAACTAATGGTTGCAGTGAAAATCTCTTAATAATTAAAGAATTTCTAAATTGTTTCAATTCTTGCCTTGATTGCTCCTTTTAAAAAAATGGAAGAGTTTTTTACAAAAATCACTGAAGTCCTTTCCAGCCTCCAAATATTCCTTGGGCGGTTCACTGTCAGGGAGATAGCTCTGTTGGCTTTATCCTTAGAGATACCTATGAGTTTTCTGTGGATGTGGAGAGCTTTTAGATTTTCAGAAACCTACAGGCATCTTTTTTTAAAGCCATAGATTGGTTGACACGTGGAAATGTGACTGAGAAAAGAGAGCGGACTGGTTTGCTTAAAACCCTGGCTCCCCAAGTGGTGGGTATTATGGAGGGCACACACTGCATGGAGCACTGGGTGTGGTGCAAAAACAATGAATTCTGTTACGCTGAAAAGAAATAAAAATAAATAACCCTGGCTCCTCCCTAAAAGGCAATATGGCCAATTGGGGGACAGAAGACTGATGAGCAGGAAACCTAAGCTCAGGCTGAGAGACACTTCTGATCGCCTCTGTCAGTTTGGTTCTCCCTTTGCTTTCATTCTAACACCTAGCCATAATTCCTACTCCCCATCCCACAGAGTTCTCCTATTGATCCTTTTTTCTTTCTCTTGAATCAGGATTAATTTTCTGAAGGTTGAAAACTAATATGAAACGAGGAGGAGGGAAGAGGGAACTGTAGAACTGAAAGTCATATTTTAATGCTCAAGCCTCAGAAGACAGTCTAGCCTACTGACTCCTCAGAGGGATGACAGGTTTGAGCCACGTAAATTAGCACTTGCCTCCTCAGGCTGATTTTTTGGTTGGTTGCTATACGATGGTAATAAAATACCCAGTTGGGTGGGGCCAAAAATTGTATTACACTCTTAGAGCACATCTGTGAATACCAGCCTCTTGAACAAATGACCATAGTTCACTAGGCTTCTGTGCTGTCAGAGGCTGCTTCCCAAATCCCAACTTTGAACCTAGCTCTGCCATATGGACACATGGGGTCAATGAAAAATAGTGTCCAAGGGGGCCCCAAACATGAGAAGGCCTGGCAAAAAGTGACAGGTTTTATCCAGGCTGCTGAAGAGAAATGTACTGAGAATGGAAACACTAAGAAGGTGCACGCCTTCAGAACGTGTCTGTGGATCGAAACACACCCTAACAGATTCTTGAGAGAGCCCCTGGCGGCCATGTTAACCTTGGCATTCTTATCATTAAAAGGCTATGCTCATTTCTGGCACCTGACATCGGACACATTGACAGCAATGGGGTTGATGGAAGAGGAAAGAATCTGTTTTGCAGTAAAAAAAAAGATTAAAAAAAAAAAAAAGCAGTTCTCAGATTTCTCAGGCCATTTGAAATTACGCCAGAGAAATACTTGATTTCAGCATTCTTAAGCTCTCTGCGATGATGCTGCAAGTGGTGTCCCCCACGTGTGATGATGTATTTTGGGGCCAGAGTTTTCTCAAGACGTTCCAAGCCTGCAGGCTCCTGATCCTTTTTCAAACTATGAAGATGATAGTATCCCAGTGAGGGTTGTGATTAGTCTAAACTCTCCACAGCTGTGAGAGATGAGTGCACAAATTCCAATAAAGATTCCGCAAGCTCTGGACTGAATTTACCTACACGACATCGAGGTCTAACTGAGGGGCCACATAAAAGGACTGGAGCTGCCTCAGTGCTATTCTGTTTCTTCCACAGCGTCAGCTGCTGGGGAGCTGGCAATTGTTCTGGGAGGATGCCTCCCCTCACACCACTGTCACTGCCCAGCAGTGGATGTTCATTTTAGAAGGTCTGGGATGTGTGGGAGTAAAGCAGGGCTGGAAAAATTAAACCCAAGTACATGGGAATTTAAAGAGGCCTTGCAATTCATTGTGTGAATAGCCAGGAGGATTATAAAACACCTTGTAACTGAAGGGGTTGGCCTGGAGCTGCGTGGGACAACAGAACCAGCTGTATCACCACCCCTAACTCATTTAGAATGGTGCTAGCAAGAAGACAGGCTCGGAGCTCTCCGCAGTGACTTGGAAAAGCCGGCAGGGCTTTGTTTTCTTATTCTGGACACCTTTTTCCTAAAATACTTTCTTAGACTACTAAGCAACATAATAATACACAGCATGCTCCTTTCAGCATGTTTAATAATTTTCTCATCTGAAAACACTTGGCTATACTCCTTTATGAAACATCTGACACTAGGCATGTTTTCCAAAACTGTGTAAGACTTACTTAGCAGGACAAGGAATTTACTTCACTGTCTACACATATTAGAAACTATAGAGAAAATAAATAAGCTCCCTCACTTTGGAAAATAAAAAGAAAATACCAAAGGAATATATAATAGTATTTTTTTTATCTTCTAATGTGATTTGCAGGAATGCAGAATTTTCTAAAGCTATGGATACAGTCATCAAGTATATCCACCACCATTGTTTACAGTCCACTAAAGCACACCTGGCATCACTCCTGACATCTAGAGATTTTTAATACTCCACTATCTATCATTTTACAGCTTATCACATAGCCACACACCTATGTGATATGCGACACTTCTCCTAGTAGACACTGAACTTGTTTTCTCTCTCGAAGGCAAACCAGAAAGACAACACCACTCAAGAGGCCCAGTGAAGAGTCAAATGAGCTGTAAGCAAAATTCTCAAAGCACCAACCCCTGGATGATCTATCTGTACATGGTATTTTACTAAAATGAAGATGATGGGAATGGAAGAAGGAAACAAGCTCCAATGTTTTCTTATATTCACACAAACAAAACACAACTACAAGCATTTCCACTTTTAGCTTTTCACAGTCCTTCATTCAAATCCTCTACACGCTAATAGATTTTCTGAACTACTAACCATAACACCTCAGATTTCACCATTTCTAGAGAAAAATCAAATTAAGCCTGTTAAACTGGATGGTAACTATGCATTACACCCCCTGAAACCCATGTTGCAAGGGCAACGTCAGTGTCAAATGGCATAGTCCTGTCTTTCTGCTGGAGGACAGTTCCAAGTATAATCACCCAGCAAGTCAACTTGGAGGGAAGAAAATAATAACTTTAAAAAGTTGAGTAGGAAATCAGACAGTATTCAAGATTCTTATGGATAAAACACAGCTGCAGGCTACAATACAGTAGCCCTACAAATAAGAGGAGTGTTGCCTTCCTGAGAATAGTCAAAATTGGTCTGATAGTAACATTAGTAGTTGCTGGTAGATGACTGACAACCAGCTCATACGGAGAAAAAAACCATGTTTTGTAGCATTTGCAATGTCCCTGATGTAAATACACCCAGGAAGGCTGATTTTAAACTACCCAAGTGACATCCTTGAATGGGAAGTTAAGGACAGATTCACAGTAACAACCCATTCTACAGTATTTCAGACACAATAGATATAACTAACCTCAACAGTATAAATTATAATAAAATGTGTGGAAATAACTAGACTACGGTGAATTTTGAGTATTACTTTTGTTTTTAATGTCATTAGTTTAATTTTAAGTTTATATAATTTACTTTTAATTAATGGTTGCATTTAACAACTGGCTTCCAAAATGCATAAAAATGTAAAGGTGGGCTCTAGTGAGCAAGTACCTTTGGCTCAGTTACAGTACTGCCTGCACTTTGCTCCTCAGGGGCATTAAAGACATTTTGAACACACATACAAACCAAATAAATGAAGCTACTAAATCACTTGGATCAGACTACTTTCAGGGTTTCTGCAAAAAGAGGTGCCCACCTCTTTGCTACCCCACTTTAAAAATACTCAAAGTTCAGGTTAGACTGTTTGTAGTACTTAAAGGAATATCATTAAATAACAGCTTGCATTCGTAACACGCTTTACACTTTTCAAAGTAGAGCTTTAGAGCACGATGGGACAGTCTGATCCTGCGTAGTGAATTTAAATTGGTGGGTAATAATAGCATTTTAATGCCTTATCCAAGAAAAGAGAGTCCCGGGAGCTGTTGGTCCAAGAGAGAGGTGGAGGGATGGAATTGAGAGCCAAGCAAGGAAGCCCAGAGCTGTCCAGACGCCCCTAGGTTCCAGATTCCGTCCTGGAAATGGCTCCGTTGCTGAGAAAGCAAGTGGACGATAGTACCAGACTTTCCTCCCTCCCTCCTGTTTTCTGACTCTAACTAGAAAACTGACTAGAACTCAGTTCTTCCTGATAGAAAAGGGTTAGGCCGCACGGGATATGCTCCAAGAGTAACTCAAAAAGCTAAAATTATTAGAGCCGTAACATTCAAATATGATCTTATCTGACCAAACAGCTTTGTATTGTTTTTCTCCCCATCAAAACATACCTGTTACAGCGTAGACACTTGTGTGCAGAGTCTACATAGATCTTACTGCCAAAATTAACATCAGCAGTAGTCGTGGCCGAGTGGTTAAGGCGATGGACTAGAAATCCATTGGGGTCTCCCCGCGCAGGTTCGAATCCTGCCGACTACGGAAAAAACAGCTTTTGCTGATACTTGCTTTCGTTTTGGTGAGTTCTCCCCAGCCTTTTCCGCAGATTACTTAAAGGATTTATGAACGGTTGGAATAGAACGGGGACCCCAATTGGGCCGTAAAAGGAGCGCACGAGGGAGCTACGGTGTCGTGTGATTGTGGTTACAACCTGGGCCCAGGAGGGGGAGATGGGCCAAAACACGCCAATCTGGAACGGAAAGCAAACCGTCGCGAGGTCATGCAGCAAGGGACAGCTCCGACCCCTGGCCACGGGGATAGCCCAGCGCCACCAGAAGTCGCGGACCCACGGCGTCCTTTTGCTCGAGCGCGTTAGCCCCAAAGCCTCGCGACGCCTGGGCCGCCTTGGGACGACGAGCGCATGCGCGGGCGCGGGCGCGGGCGCGGGCGCGCTCGGCGGGTCCCCGCGTTGCCCTGGAAACCACCCGGCGCTGCCGCGACGGGCACCGGGAAAGACGTAACGTTTCAAGATGGCGAAGGACCTGGACGAGCTCTTGGATGAAGTCGAGTCCAAATTTTGCAGACCAGACCCACCGAGACTGGGCATGGTCGAGCGGCCCAGAGGCTGCGGCGGCGGCATTCTCAGCAATGACCGGAACCGAGCCGAGGCGAAAGAGACTCTCAGGTTAACAGGCGGGAGGGGTGAGCTGTCCTATTAAAGCCTGCTCCACGCCCTGAAGCCGCCCTCTATCCACGATCTGCAGCTGCAGTCCCTAGTCGGGCCCAAATCCTGAGCTCCCCACCCCAGCGCACACCTCAACTCCCTGTCCAGGAGGATTTGGGCATCTCTTACCAAGGTCCAATTCGGCAACCCGGGCAAGCCCCAGGAGGCTAGCCCCGCCCGTGAGAGCCCTCACCCGGTGTCTTCCACCCAGACGGAGTCCGTGGGGACCTAATGGAGGTGGGGAGAGAGAGGTGCAGCTTGGGGCCCCTCCCCTGAGCCCCGAGAGGGCCTCTCTGACCAGCTCTGACAGCCAGAACCGTTCTTATCCCCCACCCGCACCCCGCGCGCCCCGGGAGGTGTTCGTTCCCACAGAGAACCTCAGCCTTTCGCCTCTGACCCAATTTCCCAGGCAGTATAATCCTTGGGCGGGTTGTTGGAGAAAACGATTCCGTACAATTCTGTCATCATTAGCCGTTTGTTTGTTTTTTAACTCAGAGAATTGAATGAGATTACATTTATGATAAATGGTTTATTATTGTAAACACTGTATTAATCCAAACCACCTACCTTCTTCCCGTGGCCCCCAGGTGAGGTCCCAAGGAATCTCAGGCATCCAAATTGAAATTTGAGGAGATTTTTTTAAGTATTCTGGTTTTTGATCCAAAGAACTACCTTTCAAATTTGTTAATCTCTTTGATTCCGTATAATCATAAAATAATAGGACTTTCTTTTTCCTTTCATTTTTCTCCTCAATCCCAAAAGGTCAAAATTGTTTCATCAGAATGAATATTGTCCTTCCAAGTGATGACTTGTGAGCCTCTGCAGTAACTCTGTTGGACATGTTTGTGAAATTACACAAAGGCAGATTTGGAAGAGCCCAAGAAAGTCATTCTTGTCATTTTATGCCTGCCTCTGTGGTTTCACTGGGTTTTGTTTGGTCTTGGTGTTCATGTGCATGATTTTCCAGAAGTATTTACCCAACAACATTGGTACCCAGTTTATCAGACTTAACCTCTAATGGCATTTGTTTATAAAAATTAACCTTTGGAATATAAAATATTGAGAAGATTCTAAAGTTCAGAAACAGGAGTTCTAAAAATTAGTTGAGTAGTGGGCAGCATTCTAAAAATCAACTAAAGAGCCAACTAAAATGACCACTTTGAAGGGGCTAGGGATTTCTTGACAATGATTATGCAAATATCACTCATTAATTGGTATGTTCTTGTCGTGCATGCTGGAGGTCTTTAGGTACTCATGCCCAGGACATCACCTTCCCTATCCCACATCAGTGTTACTTTGCAATTTCTTTTGTTCTTTTTATTCATTCATTGGGGGATGGAGAGAATTAATCAAAGAGCGGTCCAGAGCCTGTTCATGTTAGGAGAACTAGTGTGCAGAGGGCTAGAATGTCTTGGAGCAGGCAGCTCAAAATGGAAAGAGTTGAAAAGGTGGATCCTTTTCAAGAACAGGTCCTTTTATGCCTTTCTCCATAGCCTGTTATTGCACTACTGAAATCCATCCATAATGTTCATAGCATCCCACCTCACCTTACTACCTCAGATTTTTCAGTAATACATTTATAAAAGCTATAGCAAACCAGAACTGTTGTTATTCATGTGTTAAAACTTTTCATTTGGGGGCTCCTGGATGGCTCAGTGGGTTAAAGCCTTTGCCTTTGGCTCAGGTCATGATCCCAGGGTCCTGGGATCGAGCCCCGCATTGGGCTCTCTCCTCAGCAGAGAGCCTGCTTCATTCTCTCTCTCTGCCTGCCTCTCTGCCTACTTGTGATCTATCTCTCTCTGTCAGATAAATAAATAAAATCTTAAAAAACAAACAAAAAAAAAAAACATTATCAATTTCTAAAAAAAAAAAAATTCATTTGGTAATGTAGCTGTAAAGGTAAATTATGCAAAAAAAAAAAAAAAAACAGCAGAAAGGGCCCTAAACCTAATACCCAAATACAATCCCTAGCTGGTATATAATGTCAAATATAAAAAATTTTATCATGAGCCAAAATTGATATTTAAAAATTAAGAACCAATTTATATTATGAATTTATTAACAGGAGACTATCTGCCAATTGTATAGTGATGCAACTGTTATCTCTTTACCTAATAAGAATTAAAATACTGAAGTTGTCTATTAAAATGATAGGTCTGCAAGTAATAAAATAAATGACCGTGCAACATCTGGATGCCAGAAACAACTGCTAATGTAAGAGATCAAAATATATACAAGTTGTTAAAGTGTTCAAAATAATAAAGAGAAGTACGTAATTAGTTTAAAAAAAAAACTGCTGTGAGTTGAACTTCAATAATAGGACTAAAGTGGTTCAGGATGATACAGATGGGAATATTTACAAATAATATCGTAACCTCCTAGGTAATAGTTATAATAATAGCCAACATTTATTGAGTCCTTTCTATATGTTAAGTGCTTTGTATGTGTTATTTCATTTACTCTCCCCAACCCTCTTACACAAATAATATTATCCCCCTTTCACTGACCAAACTAAGACTTAGTAAAAGAGTTAACTTGCCCAAGGTCATATTTCCAAGTCTACCAGGATATTGTAGACCTAGATTTAAGCTTCTATATATAGAGTAGTTGAGATACTCTGTCAAGGGAATATTGTTCGGGTTTTTTTTTTATTGATCATTTGATTATATAACCTTCAATTCAGTTCCTGTAGTAAAAAGATAGTTATTTGACTTATAGTGGAACCCTTAGGTAAAAAATTAGAAATACTCATTAAAATTATCTTTGTTTATAATTCTCAGGTTCTACTTGTAATTGTACATACTTTGTGTTCTTTAAATAAGTCCAAAATTTAGAAAAGTGCATGCCTAGCTTTCTCTTGAATATAACCTATAGCTTTAAATGACTCATTTCAAGTGTGAAATAGTAATGTACATATGTGACTTTTTACCTGATAAACTACATCTTTGTCTCAACATCTTCAACTATGTCCATAGAGGGAAAAAATTAATTAATGTCACATTTGTCCTCTTATCAACTCTAATAATAGACTAAGCAAAATTCTCCTGATATTGACTTTATCTGTATTTAAGCTTCAGCTGTTTTGTTTTCAGATCAGCAGAAACATTTGAGAAAGAAGATGATCTTGACAGTCTTATTAATGAAATATTTGAAGAACCCAACTTTGACAAAAAACCCTTTGTAAGTTAAGTATTATAAATGTGCAGTAATTCTTTCATTATTTCAAAACATGTTTAGAAGAGTCTGAAAGTGTATAGAATGCACAAGTATCTAGTTCTTTGAATTCTGAAAAATACAACTGTTTTAAGGGAATTATTCCACTTAGAGTTGTAGAAGAAATAAAATATTAGAAACTCTCATGTATTTGCTGTTCATTTCTCAGTGAGAATGAAAAATTAGAAAAGCTGTTAAAGCAGAAGTCAGCTCACAGATGAAGTAGGTTACTTTATTTGCGTATTTAAAGAACACTTTTCTTAGAGACCAAAAATAGCTTTTATTATAGGAATGTGCTCAGATGCAGTGCCGTTGCTGTTATCCCATGAACCAATGAGTAAATTCTTGGTATTTTAATGTTTAAATGCTTTTGTACTTATCAACTTTATAAAAAGCTCATAAAACAGTGTGACAGCCAGCTCTGTAGTTAACCACCCATAGTGAACATATCAATGTTTTGTCATACTTGCGTCTCTGGATTTTTCTTTTAAAGAAATTAAAATTATAGTTTAAGAACTCTCCAGCTCCTACTCTACTGCCTTCCTTCCCAGAGGTAACCTGTCTTTTCCATCCATACTTTTATATTTTAATTATACTTGTATAATCATAAACCCTTTTAACTGATGTATAGTAGTCCATTATGTAATTCTGCCACAGTTTATCCACTTCCCTGGTAATAGACATTTGGAGTGCACCCAGTTGTGGCTTTTTTTTTTTTCTTTTTCTTTTTCTTTTTTTTCTTTTTTTTCTTTTTTTGACAGAGACAGCGAGAGAGGAAACACAAGCACAAGCAGGGGGAGTAGGAGAGGGAGAAGCAGGCCTCCCACCAAGCAGGGCTCCAAGCAGGGAGCCTGATGCCAGGCTCAATCCCAGGACCCCGGGATCATGACCTGAGCTGAAGGCAAACACTTAAGGACTGAGCCTCCCCAGTACCCCCCAGTTGTTGCTTTTAAAAACAGTGTTTCATCGGATATTTTCACGTGTCTTCTTTTACCTACATACAGGAGTTTCTCTAGAATGTGCAAACCTAGAGGACGAATTGCTTGGTCATTAGATGTACTTATCTTCAACTTTTCTACCCATTGCCCAAGTGTTTTCCAGAGTGACTGTCATTTCTATTCTTCTCATCAGCAGTAGATGAAAATGTGTATACTTTAATTTTTACCAGTGTGGTGGATATAAAATATATTTGTGAGACTTAAGAGGAAACCAAATGGAAGTCTCAATTACAGAGACCACAAAGAACAAAAATCTAAGAATAAATATAATACCAAAGAGGGTTTTTTTCAAAGGGGGAAGATTAAAGCCAGATAGACTGAAAATCACTAGGCAGTGGTGGTGGTAAGGATATGGATATGAGCCACTTTTATTTTTGTCAGCCAGACTAAAAATCAAATGACTGATAGAGAGCTTATGATCTTTACTTCTCTAAATTTAACATTTTCAGTTCGTAAGCAGATGGTAGATTAATAAGCTGATGGTCTAGTTGATTAACTTATCAACATAATAACAATGGTGTTAAATACTCTGCAAACAACAATGCGTCATAAATGCCAAATAGCAACGCTAGTTTAATTAATAGTGGAGAAGATAACATGATCTTGTTATTCATGGATCATCTGAACAATTCGTTATTAAGTATTATAGGTTGTGTATCTGTAGGTGAGGCACTGTCTCTTTACTTCAAGACATTTCAGAAGGAACCGGGATATTTTTCTACTTTGGCTTTAAGATACACTACTTTGAAATAAGAGTAACTCCTACAATCAAGAAGAGGTGTTTACCTCTATGTGCTTCTTCTGTATGCTCCCTTTTTTTAGTTACCATATCCAGTTCTTCAGACTGCAAGGGAAAAAACAACCTAAATAAAACCCTGGAGGAGAGCAGATCTGTGACAAACATGGATTCGGTGAGGAAAAGAGGTGTCTGTGAAGAGGGGTGCATGCCCACCTTTTCCAGACCAGACTATGTTCCTGAGAGTACTGCTTCCTCCCCAACCACTCACCCATTCTGTTCGGTTTCTGAACTGCTCTCAGACCCACGCAGAAAAGCCCAAGAATGACAACAAATGCCACAGTGTGCTAACTTCAAGCCATAAGTGGATGGTACACGAAACATTTTTCTCAAAAAAAAAAAAAAAGACACGTACATTATTATTTTTCCAGACATGCACCAGAAATTCTTCCAGTTCTGTTTAACATCAAATAAGAAAGTTCAGGGAAATTGTAAAGTGAAATATTTTTGCCTCCATTAAATTTCCTCACCTACAAGGTAAAATGAAGGCATGTCTCTGCGTAGTTTAAATTGCCTTTTCTCCAACTTCCTTTCCTTGGCGGTGGTCCTAGTATGTGGTTGGTTGATGCTGCTTGGTACCATATACCAGTTAACACTTAATAAATGCTTACTAATGATGATCATGTTATGTAACCATACAGGAACTACTGTATGGTTGTGACTATGTACTTCTACAATTTCCTTGCATGTTTATTGGTTGATACTGTTTCGTTTGATCAAAATTAATATTCCTAAAGTTACCCAGGAGTTTGGCTAGTTTTATTTTTAGTTCAGGTGAGTACCATTCACAGCCTTTAAAAATGAGTCTGAGGTTTTTTCCTCCTCAATTGAATTTTTCCAGGATGAAGTTTTAAATAGCAGATCCTTCATATTAAATCACTGAATGTGCTATTAACTGAAGAGTTATAAAGTGACTGTAAATCTTAGCATGCTAATAATGGCAGTATATCAATTTCCTAGACTAAAAATTAGCTGAGTAATTTACGAATTCCTCAGGGAGGTCTACTTCCCTTTTGCCTTTAAAAGGTTTTGACCGTTGTTTTTATTTCAGAAACTTTAAAATGATACAAAATTTTTATTTAAGTCATTTAAAAAATATTGTTGTTATAAAATAAAAAATATTTGTTTTTATGCTAGAATTCCCTAAATTACCCTTGGCCTTTTATTGTTTTTGTTTTTTAAACAGAAATTAAAATCTAAATCTTCAGGTAACACATCTGTCAGAGCTTCCATTCAAGGCCTTGGTAAAAGGTAAGTTGAGATGGCTTTAGTGAATTACACACACTAGTGAGCAAACACTATGAGCAAAGTCTAGTATATTTTGTTACCATTTAAACAACAGTGACATTGAACAACAAAGCACTGGTTGGCTTTCAGGAGAAAGACCAATAGCAATATCTTCAGTGTTCTCATGGTCTGTGACCTCTTGGTGTAAAAGAACTTGAATGGAAGATTATTGCCATTGTAAATAATTTTCTGCCACATGAAAAAAAAATAAGTGTGAACAGTTTCTCAGAATTAATGTTCTGTTACATTCTTCGATGTTTACTTTGTCCCTTATATTATTTGGCAAACACATTTTTCTGTGACTCATTTTAACTCCTTGAGTGTTCCTGAATGTACGGGTTATATCCAATAATGCAGTTATCCTGGAATAAATGCCTCTTCTTTGAAATAATTGGCCTTCTCAGGAAAATCTACAATTTGATTACAAGAATATAGAGTCAATGAGACCAAATTAACTTCTCATATTTTTTTGTTGTAATTTTTTTCTTCCATCTATCAAACATGTCTAGTTGCAGCCCAGTGTACCTTGGTGGAACTGCTGCTCCGTGTGGAATTGGAACAAATACTTCACAGAGGTAGGATGTCAGATAGATTTTCTTGGGGCGCATGGGTGTCTCAATCAGTTCAGGGTCCAACTTGATTTTCGGCTCAGGTCATGATCTCGGGGTTGTGAGATCCGAGCCTCATGTTGGGGGGGGGGGGTCCTCTCTCAGCAGGGAGTCCGCTTGGGAGTCTCTCTCTCTCTTCCTTCTCTGCCCCTCCCCTTGCTTGTGTGTCTGCATGTACACAGACTCTCTCTCAAATAAATCTTTTTTAAAAAGAAAGGAAATAGATTATCTTTCTTATTAGGTTTTTTGCAGTTGATACCCTATTGTTAAGATGTAGTTCTTGGCATCCGTCTCTGTCGAAATCAGAGGTGTATTTTATTAGCCAGTTTGAGAACACCGTACTGAAATGTTTGTTATTCTGGGCAGTAGCTTTTAAAAGCTGTGATATTGGGTATGCGTTGTTCCTTGTGTTGATGCCCATTTCTAAGCCCCACTTGAAGTGCTTGGGTCACTCCAGTGCCAGCCTGCTTTCCACAGGATGCCAAGAGAGTGAGCTTCTGCCTTGCCATGTTTGCCTTTTGGGCAGCAGAAGCCAGTGGGCGAGACTGGTGAAGCAGTGTGGCCATGCAGCCACATGGTGTGTTACCCACCATCTTGACCAAACACACAGCATGAGAAGGCTAGCTTTTCGGTACCAAAGAGCTCTCAAACATAGTCGCTTGGTTTTATACATTTAAAATGCAGAAATCCTCCATTCTTTGTCTCTTCCCCATCCCTTACACCCACTATATACTCACTACCTTTCAGGGAAGTCTCATGGTCATGATACCACCCACCCCATACTGCTAGCATATTCCATTATCATCGTCATAATGTGGAGAAACAAATTGGGGTTTTTTTTGTTTGTTTGTTTTGGTTTGGTTTTTTAAGATTTTATTTATTTATTTGACAGACAGAGATCACAAGCAGGCAGAGGGGCAGGCACAGAGAGAGAGGGGGAAGCAGACACCCCGCCGAGCAGAGAGCCCGACGCGGGATTCGATCCCAGGACCGAGTCGAAGGCAGAGGCCTAACCCACTGAGCCACCCAGGCGCCCCAACAAATTGGTTTTAAGCATATCTTTCTGTTGTCCTGATACTGTTGATTCTATTTTTGCAGAGGCCTATTTGCCCAGTTTATTATCTCTTATCTAGTTATTCCTAAAACACTTCTTTTACTTTCTGTTAATTTTTTAGGAAAGAGAAGAATGAGATACATGATTGCATGTTGACCATGTTTTAGGAGGAATAACAGTTATATTGAATAATAGAAGTGGGATCTAAAAAGACATTGTTGGAGGATTGTAGTGGTGCTGGCCTAGACCCTAGGAAGCCTAGAAAGAAAGGCTATGGGACCAAAGGAAAGTTGAGGAGTCTGGAGAAGCATGTATCGCAAACATCAAGGCTAACACAAGCCCCCTGGGGTGCTGACTGCTGTAAGGGCTGTAAATAACAATTAATAGCAGTTAAATCATTGTGTGTTGAGGGCTCTCTATACAAAGGATTAGAGACACAAGCTAGCCCTTCGAGAAGAATATAGTCGGGTTGCTGTCAATCCTGACTTACCTGTGTAGAGTCACTGGGACTTGTCTCTGAGTTTCCAGACCACACCCCCTCCAATCGCAGGCTCTTTCCAGTCACCTAGGAACTGCACCAGATTCCCTGTTACCTTCCACTTCCTTCTCTTGCTTCACCCACATACAGCAGGAAGGATAATACCCCTAATACTCTTCTGAGCATATCTCCTCTGTTCAGAGGGAAGATGAGAGTTACCATTTGTCCCACATTAACTCTAAGGTTACTTGCTTTACCAAATTGTGTTCTTTCTCTTCTTGGTCCCTTCACGTCCAGTGAGAGCCCAAGTCAGATAGTCCACTTCCACTAAAACATTTGTTACCCTCTAATTTCCACTACATCTTTCTGCTTCTGAAAATTTTTGCTTTTATTCCCTGTCTGGAATGACCCTCCTTTCTAATGTGTGTTCTAACTATCTTATCTGCTTATTTTCAAATTTATTTTGTCATTCTGTTTGAGATTCTTTTTTCTTTTCTTTTTATAGTATTCATTGAATGCCCAGCTTGTCCTAGGCCCTGTGCTAAACACTAGATACCAAAAATAAATAAATAAATAAATAAACAATCAATCATCAATCAATTAAAAAAAAGAAAAGAAAGAAAGAAACCCTCTCCAGGAAAGGAACTGGTAAGAAGCAAATGATAGTACTTAAAGCACAAAGAGAAAGAGCTCTGATGGCAGAATGCCTGAGTTCAGATCTCACTGTGCCACTTATGAGATGTGAAGCCTTGAGAGGAGGGATGTATCTTCTAAAACTGGTTTCTTCACCCGTTAAAAACTGAACACACTCCACGGAGATCCCGTGAGGATTAGATGGAATCCTATGTTATAGTCTGCCTGTGGTGCAAAAGATGCCGAGGATAGTTTAAGTAATAGTTTACAGTCATTCGTGTGTCTTTTTCATCTGTTAGTGCTGCCTTCTCATTGTGTTCTAGTTCTGTGCCAGGAATCCTATATTCTTCCGCTATGTTCCCATTTTATCTCAGGAAATATGTATCAGTGTTTACCTACATGGGTCTTCTAATTTTTAAAATGGTCCTAGGTCGCCTGGGTGGCTCAGTCAGTTAAGCGTCCAACTCTTGATTTCTGCTCAGGTCATGATGTCAGGGTCGTGAGATTGAGCCCTGCACTGGGCTCCATGCTGGGCAAGGAGCCTGCTTAAGATCTCTCCCTTTCACACTCTCTGTCTCTCAAAAAATTAAAAATAGTAAATAAAAATGGTCTCTAAGATGATCCATTCTGGTTTACTTTCAAAGAGTAAATATTTCATGAAGATTTTCTTTTATATAGTATTTTTTACAGGTACATTGATTTGGTTCTAGCACAGAAGAGTCTTGCTCCAGGTGGAATTTAACTAGACAAAAGAATGGCCTGTTTTATAGCTTAAGGATCCAGTCACACAATATTGATGCATGAGCATGATAATATTCGTCAAACTCCTTCCTACTTTCTGCACAGCTACAAGAAGAAAAAACACATACTGTTTGCGTAAATGTGTACATTCACAGTCTTGTCTTGCTCACTATTACAAAGATACCCTTATGGACAAACCTCTTCATAAAACAGATCTGCACCCACAGAAAGATAAGCCTATACTTCTTCAATATGCACCTAAAACATTTTATATGTGAAGTACTTTATCCTCTCCAGAGCACTTTTTTATATATGCTTATTGGTTCAGCTCCACAGGAAAAAAAGCAAGATGCAAATAGAGCAAGACTTTTTAACCCCATTTTATAAATGAGGAAATTGAGACACTGGTGTTAAATTCATTGAACACATACTAATGAACCACCTGCTTGCTAGCTCCTACATAATACATAATGTGAAGGGAAAGTGCAGGGTACGATAAGCTTAGATAATCAGCACACCAGCTAATATGAAGGGTTAGAGAATGTTTTCCCAAGCAAATAACATTTAATCAGACTACAGTATGAGAAATGAGTTGGCAAAGAGAGGAGACCATTAGAGCCAGAGGGCACAGAGTGTTAGATGATCCCTGAGCTGGAGTAGCTGTGAGTGGGGGAAAGAATCACTCTTGATGGGGCTGGAGAGGTAGTCAAGGGACAGTTGGTTTGGGGTTCTGGAGTCCTCTGGCAGATTTTAGGAAAAGTGTGTTATATGCAGTGGAAGGCTTTAGTTGTTTTGGGGGATTTTTTGGTTTTTATTTTTGGCAGATGGGGTGACAACCGTATTTGTGTTTCTAAAGAAAGTCATTTTGGCTGCTGAATAGAAAATGGTTTGGAAGTTGAAGGGGCAAGACAAGAGAAGACAGGGAGAACAGTCAGCAGGTAGTAGTACTATGGTCCAGGAAAGAGGCGGGGATGGTAGCTGTGACCTGAGTAGTGAAAGTAGCTGGAGGGAAAAGGTGTCATATTTGCGCCATTTAGAATCTAGAATTGACAGAACTTGGTGTTTAAATAGCTATGGGAAGTAAAAGAATGTTCTCAAGGATGACTTCAAGTAATGTGTCTTGCCAAGATCAGAAAAGTTATTACAAACCAAGGACTCAAATATGTAACTTGTTCCTGTCCATTATCCTTTCTAGTATACCAATTTACGGAGACCATGTAATGTGTGCAAGAGGGAAGAAACTTAACTGTTTTTGCTATTGAGGCTACTGTTATTTTCCCACTGTCCAAACAACAAGGCTTCCTAGACTGCTGTGTAGATCTGGCAGGGTTTAACTGAGAACCAGAGTCTGGGCAGAAGACTATATTGGGCTGTATTTTGGACATTCCGATCATGAACACCTTAAAAATAGTAAAAATTGTATGTATTAGCTGGACAGAAGGACAAAGCTGTTGGTGACACCTTTATATTTATATTCCCTCCACATTTTCCTTTTTTTCTTTTTTTTTAAGATTGTATTTATTTATTTGACTGTATTTTAAGATTGTATTTATTTATTTGACAAGTAGGTGGGGTGGGGGGGGGAGCAGGCTCCCTGCTGAGCAGAGAGCCCAATGCGGGCTCGATCCCAGGACCCTGGGATCATGACCTGAGCCGAAGGCAGAGGCGTAACCCACTGAGCCACCCAGGCGCCCCCATTTCCCTCCACATTTTAGAAGAAGAATCCTGACAATTTATCTTTCACTAGAATCATGCCTTTTTTTAAAGATATCGTCTTATATGCATATAGTTATGGAAGAGAAATATATTTAAGCCCTGAAAATAAGCACTGATTTACACGCCCAGGGCATAAAGGAAATTGAGTCTATTCTGCCTACTTTCTATGTGTTTTATTTGTTTGATTTCCAGATAAAGCTCTGGTTTGGGAGTACTGCTGAATGATTTTAGAGTATAAAGATGTGAGTCTTTTACTCACTTGGTGGAAAGGAGAAAGAGTGGTAGCAGGAAGCATGGTGGCATTAATAAGGTATAGATAAAATCAAGGCATTATTTTCAAGCCAAATCGAATTTTACATTCTTATTTTTTAAACCACTTGTAAAGCTGTATTATTCCATAGATGCCTACTAATTACGATCTAATAGAGTGAATCGTAGCAGCAGAATGATTTCTTAGCTGCAAGTTAGTTTTATTTTTCTCACAGGGCAGTTTGTAGGAAAATGTAGTGTGAATAGATTTGAATAAACTACTAAATTTTAAATTAAATTAAAAAGCTGTATTTAACATTATGTTTGAGATTTTACACGTACAAAACGTCAGGAAATTCTAAATTATCGTTCCCAAAACAGCAATAATTTAGCCAAATTGCACATATGTATTAAAGCATTAAAGTTAACACTCTGTGCAATCATGTAATAAACTACATATGCATAAGAAAGCAAGTTATGGCAGCTTTGGGAACCATCATTTTGCATTTCCTTACTTGTACATTAAAAATCCAAGTTCAGATGTGTACAAATTTAATTGTGTTGAATTTCCATATGTATAAATACAACTCAGTTTAAAAGAAAATATGGAATTGTTTATGAAGCTTCTATAGATTTCGAGTAGTTATTTTTATGATTAATAATAATTTTTAAAATAAACATTTATTTTCAAAGAAATTTTCAGGCCAAAAGTATTTGCAATTTTGAAGTTACCATATCTGAATTTTAGAGAGAAATAAGTGAAAAAAAATCTAATGATGGGGTTTTTTAATTATTTTTTTATTGCAGAAGTATTGATTGCTTATTTAAAAAATAAAGCAGTTTAAAAATATGTAAAGAAAAAGCTAATAATCTCTCTCCTCCATTCCCACTACCCCTGAGGCAGCCAGTGTTAGCTGTACAGTATATAACCTTCCACATTTTTCTCCATGTTCTTACAAACTTACAAATACCTATGCAGGAAAATTTTTTTGGTTGTTTTTACAAAAATAGGCTCATGCTATGTATTTTAATGGTGTACCTTGCTTTGGACATCCCTCTAGGTCAATAGATAAATCTAATTCTCTTTATTGGCTACCTAACAGTCTATATATATTGCATATTATTCAGCCTTTTCCCTTTTTCATAGGTATCCAAGTGGTATCCTGTTTTTTGCCACTTCAGCAATTCAGCAGTGCAGTAAAAATTCTTGAGCTAATGGCTTATAGACTGATGTTTTTATTTATATGTAATTTTTGGTTCCCAAAAATGCGGTTGCTAGAGCAACAGCTAGGCATAATTTTAATTTTAAAATAGTGCTAAGGTTTTTCCCAGAAGATTACAGAAATTCACATACCCACCAGGAATGTCTGGGAGTCCTAATTTTTGCTAACTTAATTGGCTAAAACATTTATTTCTTGGTTGCTTTATAATTTAATTACATTATATTTTAACTAACAAACCCTGCGCCGGGCACTGTTATAAGCACTTTACCAATGTTAAACGATTAGGTCCATTAACAATTCTGTAAGGTATGTAAGTATTATTATTACCCACATTTTACAGATGGGGAAACTTGAGTCACAGAGAAGTTACTTGACTATAGTTACACAGCTGGTAAATAGTGGAATACATTTGAACCTAGGCAGTCTGTCTTCACAGTCTGTGCTCTTAACTGCTATTCTGTGATACCCATATGAGAGAGATTGAATATATTTTCAAGTTTTAAGTTTTGTTGTCATTTGTAAGCACTCTTTGTATAGTGTAAGTATTTGACTGTGTTGAAAACATTTACTTCCATTCTGTCACTGATTGGTATTTTCACTTTGTTTTTGGTATCTTAAAATCTTTTATTGGGATGCCTGGGTGGCTCAGTCAGTTAAGCATCTGACTCTGCCTTTCAGCTCAGGTCATGATTTCATGGGTCATGAAATTGAGGCCCACATCGGGCTCTGGCTCAGTGGGGAGTCTGCTTGAAGGTTTTCTGCCCCTCCCCCTACATGTGCACATGTGCAGGCACACACTATCTCTAAAATAAATAAATCTTAAAAAAAAAAAAGAAAGAAAAACCTCTTCTTCCTTTTAATTTTTAGATAATCCAATATATATCTATATTGATTTTAGCTCTTAAATACGTCAAATAATGGAAAAAGTTTCTTCTTTTTTAAAGTAAATCACAGTTATTACATAAATCAAATTGTTAACATCAGCAGTTCATAAGTATTTCCGTATATTGTTATTTTACTCCTAAACTTACTATGTAGCTTATGCATTTTGAGAATTGTGAGGCATTTCATTTTGTTACATTTTCAGTAAGGATCTGTTACATGCTAAGTGTCATTCCAGCACTTCCTCCCCTTTCTCCTATATCATCAGTGTTTTGCTTTTCACTGCAGCTCTGCCATCAACATAAAAATAATCTTTTTTTCCCTCCCTTCTTATATAACCTTCTCTTAACCCCTGTTCTTAACCACCTTCTCACTCCATTTAAAGAACCTGCTCAGATGTACGTACCTTCTCAGTGAGGCCTGTGCAGACTACTCTACTTAAAATTGCAATCCACTCCTTCTTGATACTCCCAATTTTATTTACTCTACTTATCATTTCAAAAATTGGAAGCACTTTCCCTTTTTTTTTAAGATTTTATATATTTGAGAGAGAGAGAGCAAGCACAAGCAGAGGGAGCGGCAGGCAGAGGGACAGGGAAACAAACCCCCTTCTGAGCAAGGAGCCCGATGTGGGACTTGATCCCAGGACCCTGGGATCATGACCTGAGCCACAGGCAGCTGCTTAACCGACTGAGTCACCCAGGCGCCCCACCCCCTTCTGAGCAAGGAGCCCGATGTGGGACTTGATTCCAGGACCCTGGGATCATGACCTGAGCCACAGGCAGCTGCTTAACCGACTGAGTCACCCAGGCGCCCCACTTTTCACCTTCTAACAAACTATGTAATTTAGTTATTATGAGTATCATTTCTTCTGTCATTAGAATATAAGCTCCATGAGGACAGAAACTCACCAGCATACATAATATGCTTTCAGGAAGTATCTTCTAAGTGAGTGAATGAATATATTAATGCCAAGTACTAGGGAAGCAGAAGCAAATAAGATTCTGTCCCAGTATTAAGTAACTTATGGGGGGACAGATTCATTTCCTATAATGTGGCAAATTCTGTGATAGAGGCACCCCTGAAATTTTCAGTAGGAAGGGAAGTAACTTAAAGAAGTTTATCTTTTTTTTAAAGATTTTATTTATTTATTTGTCAGAGAGAGAGAGATCACAAGTAGGCAGAGAGGCAGGCAGAGACAGAGGAAGAAGAAGGTTCCCTGCCGAACAAGGAGCCTGATACGGGACTCGATCCCAGGACGCTGGGATCATGACCTGAGCCGAAGGCAGCCACTTAACCAACTGAGCCACCCAGGCGTCCCAAAGAAGTTTATCTTAAGTGAAGATCTCCCTCAGATCCAATTTGAAAACCATTGCACTAAAAGATCTGCACATCCCTTTTGTTTTGTTTTATATCTATACAGTACGCATATGTGTGTATGCATATATATATGTATATATGTCAGTGTGTAAGAGCTTAGAAAAATAAGTAGCTTTATATAGAAATTTAACATGTAAGTTTGTGCAGAAACTTAACCTGAGAAGTTTTACCTAAAGATATGTATGTTATCCATCCTTTCATACAAAAATGTTTAGCACATTAATCTTTATTTTTCTGTTGTTTACTCAGTAATCTGGAGTATGTAGTGTATCCTATGAATAAATCACCAGATTTCCATATTTAAACGTACCAGTAATCTTTAATGTACTGTTATTTTTCTCTGAACAGAGCATGTGATCATCTGCGTTGTATAGCATGTGATTTCTGGGTAGTAAGCTACGATGACTACGTGTGGGACAAATCATGCGATTATCTGTTTTTCAGGTATGTTTCCAAAGAACTTCACTCTGTGAAAAACGTACCAAGCAATGACTTTATATTTCTTCTTTGCTATAACGTCTCTTGGTGGACTTGGCAAGATCATGTGGCCTCCACCTCTTGCATATTTCTGTCATCTCCTCCTCTCCATCTGTCTGCAGTCAGCCTATGTGAGGATATGCTACTTCCAGACAGGAGTACAGTAAAAGCCTTCTCACTGATTTCTCCGCCTGAGGTCAATTCTTTCAGGCCACCCTTCCCCTTCTGAGAATTAACGCATAACCCTGAGTGCGACTTGTACGTGCCCAAAGCTCTTCTGCTTGGGGAATCATGTCCAAGTTCCTCAGTACAGCATTCAAGAGCCCATCTGTCTGCCACCCGGCGTGTCCTTCCACAGTTAGCTTTTCACCTTCACAAGGTTATAGCTGCATCAGAGTACTTAGTACCGCTGTCCCTGTGACAGTTCAAGCTCTTCCCTTCCACCACCCCAGCATTTATTCGCCTAAACCTGACCTGTCCCTCAGGGTACAATTCACTGCACATCCTTCATGATTCCCTTACCTCTCTGTCAACTTGGAAGTAAGTTCATCCTTTCCTCTGTGTCCACAGCGCTGTGTACCTAGTCTAGCACTCACTGGAGAGGAAGATTGAAAATTTAAGTTGGTATAGGTCTGCCTCCTTCCTTGGGGTCAGGATAGTGTCTTTCTCGTGTTTTTGCAGTTTATGCATTCTTATACACTTACTACATACCTAATGTTTTTAAGATTTGTAAGTCATAAAAATGTATCTGAATTATACATCACATGGGACACACCTGGGTGGCTCAGTTGGCTAAGCATCTGACCCTTGATTTCAGCGCAGGTCTTGATCTCAGGGTCATGAGTTCAAGCCCCATGTTGGGCTCTGCTGGACATGGACCCTGCTTAAATAAATAAATAAATAAATAAAATTAGGCTGTGAATTATGTATCACATTTTCAAATAAAAATTAAGACCTAAAAATTAATGAAGTGCACACACCATGCATTTTTATCCCCCACCCCAAACCTGAGCCTAAACAAGAATTGTATTTTCTGATGCAAGTAATCAGAATATATTGCATCTCTCTCTAATAGATAAAAAGGTGAGAGTGTTTCTTCCACACCTCTTCTGGCAGCCATTCTCCTGTAAATCCATGGGAGTCTCTTCTACTTGAATTGTTTATTTAAACTCTTTCACATCAAAATTTCACACATTTTGGGGCGCCTGGGTGGCTCAGTGGGTTAAAGCCTCTGCCTTTGGCTCAGGTCATGATCTCAGGGTCTTGGAATTGAGCCCTGCATTGGGCTCTCTGCTCGGCAGGGAGCCTGCTTCCTTCTCTCTCTCTGCCTGCCTCTCTGCCTACTTGTGATCTCTGTTTGTCAAATAAATAAATAAAATCTTTAAAAAATATTTTTTCACGCATTTTGAAATTCAGTCTTATGAAAACTTTGAATCCTCTCTAAGCATACACAAAAATTCAAATATACAAATTCATGGAAAAATTACAGTTTGAGAGGTTTCATATTTCCCAATCCAAATGAAGCCTAGTACAGTCCCTAAATCCCAGATCAGGTTAGCCCACTTTTAATCCCAGAGTGGGAAAAGTTAATTTTTAATTCAGGTCTGTTTTGCCATTTCTGACTTTTCTTAGTCCTCTGCTCTGGTTAATGTGATGAGTGGTCAGTAATCCCCCTATGTCACCACTGTGAACCACCAATCTTGCAAAAACTAGTATAGAATGACAGAATGCATGTAATGTCAGTGCTGTAGTGAGCTCTCTGTAACTGGGTAGAAGGAGGTAAACTAGTGATATATTCAGAGGAAAGCTAGGGAATGGAAGATTTTCACACCTGATGGCAGAGCTGTGTGAATGAGGATGTGAGCTGCTGAAAGTAAAGAAACAGGGAGAAGATGAAACACTTGAGGAGGTGGGGAGTAAGAGCCAAAGGAAAGCACAAGTAGGTGGTCACCAAAGAAGGCAAGTTAAAAGGCTTGCAGGGTGCCATTGACATTGGTGCCTGACAGTGCCTGGGGAGCCATTTCTTTTTAGTGGTATCGGTCTACACATCGGCTTGCTTTATTGTCCTTATCTTATAAATGAGGGAAATGTGTATCTTAGCTCTGACAAGTTCTAGAGTTTTCAAAAAGAGATATAAGCTATACTTGATCATCCTGCCATAGTAGCTACATAAGATGCTTTTATTTTCCTACTAAATCATTTTCTTTATGGGAAATTATTTTTCTAAACTTTTAAGATATGTGCATCCTAAAAACAACTCGAAATGTATTAATTAGTGTCCTGGCTATTCATGAATCCTACTCATAAAATCTCTAATTAAGGATTCAGTCAAGTATCAAACGTTAAATTTGATTTTTTCTTTCTGATAAAACTTAGATGATCCACCTCTTCCCGTAGTTTACTGAAAGCAAACAGTTGGCCTGGGAAATCTAGGTTTTGTTAGGTTCAACCTGAATTATGCCTGTATTTTGTACAATACAGTACTGTGTGGTGCCCATTGGCCACCAGAGGGCACTTTGTAGCCTTCCTTCTGTTGCAGTGACAGCACTTTGTCTCTTTTCTTAATATTTACTGTATTTCATCATTTTACTTTGTATTTTATCATTTTACTTTGTATTTTTTCATCATTTCATTTTTGAATTTTCCCTTGTTTTCCTGTTACAGAGTAGTTACGTAAATTCAGTACATGGATTGTAATGAAAATCATAATTGATTTTCAGTTCATTAAATTTAAATTAACTTCTCTAGTCTTTCTACAGTAGCATCAAGTCAGACAGTTATCATTTTTTATGATGGTCCTGCCCATTGATTTAATTATGTTAACGTTATTGACATTTAATGCAGGATAGACATTTATTCTGTTGCTAATAGTTTATCTTGCTGATCAGTATATCATTGAAACAATTGAAAGATAAAATATTAGTTCAACAAATAGAAATAATAGGCACTTTATGTCTATTTAATGAAAAATGCTATAGTTAACCCATCAGAACCCTATTTATGCCTCTTATATGCCCTCCATTGACCATATTACGGGCTTTTAGAGTATGGTATAAGTGAGTATCTGAGTAGGAGATGTACCACCATCATTCCCACTCTCTTCTCATATCATGTCATCTCTGATAGGACAAATCAATAATTCTTCATTCAGCCTTTTAGTTCTCATGTTCTATTACAACAGCTTTAATAAACAGACCTAGAGGACTGCCATTCAAAAGCACTGGATACCAAGGAAATACCATCAGAAAGAACACAGAAGCCTATCTTCTGTTGTTTAGGTGAGAGGGCCAAGGTTGTTTAGTGTTCAGATGTGGTAAAAATAGGAAAATAAAGCAATGACAACTTTTTTTTTTTTAAAGTCATCCAGCTCGAGCAAAGCCACTGTGCTAAAATCTTCATTTTTTTTATTAATAGAAACAACATGCCGGAATTCCACAAATTAAGAACAAAGTTGGTAAAGAAGAAAGGAACACGAGCATATGCCTGCCAGTGTAGCTGGAGAAGTATTGAAGATCTGACTGACCTTCAGACCGATCAACAGCTTCGCTGGGTTTGTGGTAAACATTAAGAATGCAGACTTTTCATATTCAGACTAATGCCTACAATGAAAGCAGTCTCCAGTAATCATCAACATTTTTAGCGAAGGTACAAAGCAGTATCATGCCCTTTGGAAAAAGACAGGAAATTTCATTCAATGACTATATAGTATAGATTTTCAAAGACCTAATGGACTTGAGAAGATAATGTGCTTTAACATTTTGGAACTATTTCTTTTTGCTGTATGGGCATTTCACTTAGTAAGGTAGCAAGTTATCCAAATTCTTTGCTAGCCACTCTCCTGTTAAATGGAAGTTTAATTATGGAGTTTCGTACAAATATGTAGGCATTCATTAGCAACTGCAGAATTAGTCACTGCTAATACACGTAGCTAAATATTCCTCATTTACAGCATTTAAAGAGGATAAAGCCAGCCAGTGCAGAGAGATCCCTGAGGGTGGTGGGGGGAGGAGGTATAGGCATCATCTCCTCTGGTCAGATCTGTTGCCAAAGATCAGAATTTAGATGTGGCAAAAACCATGTGATCAGTGGCTAACTGAAGGATTTGGGGGAGCACAGGTTCATTGTAAATGAAAAGACTGCCTATATTGACCTTACCTCAGAACTCCAAATTATATTACCCACAGTAATGATAAGTATATATTCTTATTTTAGCTCATTTCTTCTCCTTTTGATCATTTAGATAATCAAAGGGTAGTTTGCTATTTTAGTAAATATTCATTTATATATAAATTTTTTTTTTGATGTACCTATAATCACAAGGAAAAATCCTAATACAGATAAATCATTATTGGATTTTTTCCAAGTACTTCTCTAGCCTCCGGTGCCTAAAATTCCATCAAGTGAACAGCAACTGAGATATTTGCTCAGGCAGCCTGTTGATTTTCCGGTGGGATCAGGCTGACATATTGTTTGTCAGATGAGAGCATGAAAGAAGAAATAAAACATAGTGGAACCAACAGGTAATCTGTTGTGCTCCTCCTTGACATCTCTGAGACTGGAGGAACCCTATAATAGCAGCACATTCAGCAAATCAGTTACCTCAAAATTACCAGTTCCCAGCACCATGAAGAAACTCTGGAGGCTTTCCAATCTGCCATAAGTGCTTTATTGTGTGTGTCTAAGACATAGTTCAAATGTACGACACAAGGCATGCTGAAAGGGAGTAACTGAAGCAGAGTTGTGATTGCTTAGTCTTATGCTGAATCCATTCCAGTCACCTTACTCAAGTAAGGAGAAAGATCGGCCATTAAAATCCTTTTCCTAGCCGTGACACATGTGCTAGTAAGTCTAGCATTGCAGCAAAACCCATAGTGAACTCAACAGTGGCAGATGCTTACATTTTTATATTGACAATGTTTACAGATTTTATCTTTGAATAAACATTTTTTACTCCCTAAAATCTTATCTCTGTGTAATTGTATGAGAAACAAGGGGATTTGATTGAGATATCATTAGTCACAACAATGATGTTTTCTTTTTATTCAAATGAGCAAATTTACTAAATCATTAATTTGAAATTTTTTTTTCTCTTTTATTATTTCATTACTGTTCTATATCTTGGATACATTGCTCATGTTTGGCATTCTGTCACATAATTCCCCAATGTCGGAAATGTACATATGAGTTCACATTTTTGTTGGCAATTTACTTTATAAGCTTTTTAATATTGTACAATTTTTAATCCAAAATGTAGAAAGAATATTATGTTGAAATACCAATGGAGGGCGCCAGTGTGGCTCAGTTGGTTGGGCAACTGCCTTCCGCTCTGGTCATGATCCCAGGGTCCTGGGATCAAATCCCATGTTGGGCTCCCTGCTCAGTGGGGAGCCTGCTTCTCCCTTTCCCTCTGCCTGCCTGTCTGCCTATTTGTGCTCTCTCTCTCTCTGTCAAATAAATAAATAAAATATTTTTTTAAATAATAAAAATACCAATGGATAAATTATTACGTTGAAATTTAAGCAAAAACCCAACCATTTTAATAACAATACAGAAGAAAAACATAGTTTCTGATGAACTATAATTTTAAAATGTAAAGTCTATAAAACTTCCTAGATGTTTTGCCTATTTGTTTTTAATATTTATAATAATTTTCTACATTAGCAATTATCTATTTTTTGTCAACTAGGTAGCTACTTTCTTTGAACTGTATTATACTCTCAGACCCTTATCCTGCCTAGAAATGAATAAACAATAAGTAGCTTTATTCTGTATTTAGTTTTTTATTTTTGTAGTAAAATATTCATATGGGGATTAGTTTGAAATAATTTTGGTGATTTCTTTTAAAATGTCAATGAAAGAGTTTCAGACGATCCAATTGAACAGAGAATTTATTTACATTGGAGAGGAGAAACATGCCATTGGTGTAAGTGTGTGTGTACATGCATTTATAAAAGAGCATTGGTATTTTTCTTCCAAATGTATAAGGAGTTTTATTTCACAGGACCATTTTTTTCTGTTTCATATGTCAATAATCTCCACATTTTGACTATAAGAACTTCTGCTTCTTTATCAGTACCATGGCAATATCATCTAAAATAATTTGAAGTGATCTATAAGCGATAACCTTAGAACAAATGAAATCAACTAATATACCTCCTTTTCACCTGTGTATTCTGTGATCTTCTTATTAATCCATGGTCTAATCTGTCATTCTGACAGTAGAGAATCCATAATAGACCAATCCAGGAGATAACCAAAAAACTTGGGTTTGTCTGAAGAGATAATGAGACTCTTAACGTGTTTATGCTTCTCTTCAGTGTTTGCAGGGCCTTTGGTAGCATTTTTATCATCCTCACAGTGATCCAGGGGAACCATTTTCCTTTTTCCTGGTATATCATCCGGTCTTCATCCTCAGATTAGTTAAAAACACTATCTACCGAAAGTTTCTTTCCCTTCACAGAACGAGGCTGACCAGGACTATTGCAGGCACCCTACTTAAGACTTAATTGCTGTTTTTGGTCTGTGCTCTTCAGGCTGTTGTTGGTCTGGAGAATTTTCATGAGGAATAATGATACCACAGGGAGGCTCCTCCCCAAGAGTGTTGAGGGCCACATTGCCACTGGCCAAGGAGACAGATGGGACAGAGCTGATGGCCTCAGTTGGTTTGAGACAGGCCTTTGCTCTGGCTCTTCCTCTTTCTTGGGTTCCTCTCATTTTTCTTCTTTTTCTTGCTTTTCTTCTTCCTTATCCTTTGGTTCTGGTTCTTGCTTTACATGTACTTTTCCATGTCCTCTCAGCCTTTTGTTGCAACCTCTGCATCTGGATCCAGCAGGTGCTACCTGATCTCTAATTCTTCCTTCTCTCTCCTTGGTCCTATACATCTGCTTCCATTTCCTTTTCCCTATCACGCACCCTTTTCTGAAGAACACATCCTCTGTGAGATTTGGCATCATCTATATTGTCATAACTTCTAAGAATTATTTTAGTCATTTAGCCTCTTTTGCCATTTCTCTTCTCTCTTCTCTTTCAGTCTCTTTCTCCTACTCCCAGGTTTTCTTCCGGTCTCTGCTTTCCCAGTTCTGAAGGCGCTCTTGGTAAGAAGCTTCATTCTCTCAGAGTTTTCATTCAGATTTTGTTTGTTCATCTGCATCTTTTTCACCCTCTTCATAGTCCTGCTTCTTGTCTTCTCTGCACTCCCCCCATTCACATTCTTTCTCATCCTCATTCCCTTTCATGATCTCTGCTCTTTCCTCTCAGTCTTATTCCTATCTGAGCTCCTTTCCTAATCAGTCACGATCCCTGTCCCATTGTCCTTCCTGATGCCATTCCTTCTTTCGTTCACACTCTCCCCCTTTCTCATTCCCATTCTCACCTTTCTTGTTCCCATTTACATCTGTTCTGTTTTCTCTCTGTCTCAATTTCCTGTCTGTCTTTTGCCATTTCCTTGTTGCCTTTCTCCCAGTTTCTTGTTTGTGTTTTTCTGAATATGCTGCTTTCTCGGGATATCAGGTCTCCTTTGTGTTCTTCTATTTTTATAGGGATTATATCCCCCTTCCTCCTTTGTGGTAAGAAAATAATCAATCAGTGGAGCACTGGAAGTGTGTGGAAACTGTCCTCCCCTTTTCTTCATCTTCCTGGGGTCAGTCAAATTTTTGTGAGAGGGCATTGAGTTCACTGGAGTGTATTGAAACTTCAAAATCCCCTTTGATCATCTGATCTCTTTTGTTTCTTCATCTGAGGCTTCTTATCATTAGTGACAGTTCCTAGCCTGGCATTCCCACAAGAAGCTTTCTTCTTTGCTTTTCATTTACCCAGTTGTGCCTTTGTCCTTGCATTAACTTTAACAAGTAGCTTCTGCTCTCCAATCTGCAGGTTGTACCATAACCTGAGTGCACAGGGTTAGGTTCAGGCTCCTTATAAGGCTTGAAGTTCTCCAGATACACCTTGTATTCTTCCAGCTCAAAACCAAGCCACATTTAGCAAGGGGTTATCTTATAAGGCATGTCTGAAGCTTTCTCAGAAATGTTACCAACAAAAGTTGTAGTAGTAAGACCACAAATCTCATCAGTTTCCTTAGTCTTTAAGCCTGGATGATTCTTTCTTATTCCCAAATGCTTTCCCACCGTAGACGCAGTGGATACTAAGCCATTTGAAGCAGTTGCCATAATGCTCATTGGTATAGGAATCACTGTGGTCCCTGGAGGTACAGGTGGAGAGTCAGGAAACCATGGGGGTCAGATCCCTGATGGGAGTGCTGGGATTCCCAGAGGAGGGTGATTCAAAGGAGGGAGGAAAGATATTCTTGGGCAGCTGTCTGCCACAGAGGAAATGGCACTGTCTTCATGTTCTCCTGGGCTCCAGGTTATGAGTAATCTCCACCACTTCCAGGTTTCTGCGTGCTGCTTACCAGGGGACTAGTTCCAAAGTGCCTCCTCATGCAGGCCACAGACACAGGTACACTGTTCAGGGAGCTTCTGGAGCATTGGTATTCAAAGGAGCAGGTCCAAGTGCCGGAAGAACGAGCCACGTGGGGGCGTCTGGGTGGCTCAGTGGGTTAAGCCTCTGCCTTCAGTTTAGGTCATGATCTCAGGGTCCTGGGATCGAGCCCCACATTGGGCTCTCTGCTCAGCAGGGAGCCTGCTTCCCTTCCTCTCTCTCTGCCTGCCTCTCTGCCTACTTGTTATCTATCTCTGTCAAATAAATAAAAATTTAAAAAAAAAAAAAAAAAGAACGAGCCATGTGGATATGGTGGTGTACAGCCAGACCCCGTATGTTGATGTTAGTAAACTTGGCACCTTTATTCTCTTGGGTCAAAGAAGATGGCATCAGACTATGATTTTGAATTGCTTTCCCTCCTTTTCTTCATGATCTGATATTTTAAAATATGGAATAAAAAGGTGTTTATATCCAATAAGTACTGCGATGAGCTTAGAAGTAACTCTCAAATGCTGACTTTTCTCAGCTGTTACTTTTTTATTTTTTTAA